CAACAACACGGTAGTCTTCCGTGTTTGGATGGCCTGATCCAAACACGGCTTTCGACCAATCAGAATACGCGTTATATACATGTTATTTTATAAAAGAGTTTAGCTGACTCTCTGCTTTTATGTCATATTTAATTTACAACATTGTTTAGGGGGAGTGGGGGGGGGGGGTGTGCTGTTGTCTCGATAATTTTTGCACGTGATTGTAACTAAATAGTCTGTAATGGACTATACATATCGGGCCCAGTAGAGTTCACTGATCGGGCCAAGTTGAAAACATTCTTTGTATTGTGATATAATGTCAGACAGCTTGTTGACTCCTATGAAAAAGTGTTTCTACTTTCCTCTGCCTCTCGATTTGGTTTGTTTAGTTAAGAATTCTCAAATTTAGTATTTATTAATATCATTGCTCGTATAATTTTGTTCTTTTTCTTCTACAGATACGGAAAGCAAAGAACATGAAGTATGTGTAGAATTAGATATAGTATATAATACTGATTACCTAGCTCTCATGGTTATATTTCAGGCAGACTATACCCGCACAATTGTGAAAGAGATACTGTAAAATACTGTGTTCTTGACTTATGTACATATACTGTGTTCTTGTCTTATATGTACTGTATGTACTATTTAAAAAACGAGCAGGAGTGTTTTATTAGGTTTAAAGCCACGAGCGCGCAGCGCGAGTGGCTTTAGACCTAATAAAACACGACCCGCGAGACTTCAAAAACGTATGCATAATAAGTCAATCGTTATATAAAAATCTTTATATAAAAATCTTTATATAAAAATCTTTATATAGTTTACATAACAATGGTCTTTTGTTAAAGTGTTCTTTAGCTGGTATAAAGACGTATGCACGTGACTAATTTCTTACTCAAGATTGGATAATTGCTTCATGAATTATTAATGAGTTTTTTAACTATAGATAATAGTATGGTTTCGAGTGCAATTTGGAAAAAGACATGTACGAGTGAGTTTTTCAAAGACTATCAAAATTGCACGAATCCAAAGGACGAGTGCAATTTGAAGTCTTTGAAAAATTCACGAGTGTATGTTTTTTTTTTCAAATTGGACGAGAAAACATACTATTCAGTAGCGTAGCCAGCCCAACGACTTATCCCGCTATGCAAATATTTTCGTGTTCATTGACTGTGAAAACATGCAATAAATTTCTAAGGAAATGAATAATGATAATAATTTTGAATTTGCATAGCGGGACTAAATTGTCGGGCTGATTACGCCACTGATACTATTAGTCTATTACTTACTAATACTATACATGAAACAATTATGCAGTTACGTGCGTAAGTCACATTTAGAAATTAAGAAATACACCCTTTCGACAATTACGTCATTTGGCCTGAGAGCCTCGCTCTCATGCATGAATCGTGAGCCAATCACCTTGCGTAATTTACTAATCAGAGCGAGGTTCCAAGACCAAAAAGTATGCCGGTGTGACGTAATTATCGAAAGGTGTATTAAAAAAATTAAGAAATTTGCACTGTATTTCATTTTTGGGCACCGTATTTCGAAAAATTGCACTGCCCTTAGCCAATAAGAATTGAGAAATTTTTTCATGTATATTATTAATTACTAGAAACACGAAATATTTTCGATAAATTGTGGTTGGTTCCATGAATATTTTTATGATCTCTGATCGCTATGTTCTTTACAGAGGTCAATCCCAGACGACGTGACTACTCCAAATGCTAGAATAGAACCTGTTGTCCCAGAGCGACCACGCAAGCGAAAAAGACCTGCGGTTGATAATGTTCGAAAACTTACTGATAAAAAAATCAAGAGAAATCATTTGACTGTTATGGACACCCTCAGAGATCAAGTAAGGCCTAAGGGAGTATAGAAAGTGTCAATCTAGCTCGTACCCAGAGTCTGGGTACGAGATTGAGAAGTGTCCGACCATTCTCGTACCCAAGCCCTTCTTACGCGCGTTGCGACGAGGGATTCTGGCCAAATCCATATCCGAACTGGCATCTGATTGGCTAGTTCTAATACCGGATATTGTTTTCTTGCCATGTTTTTATGGTATCCGGTTATGGATTTGGCCAGAGCCCCTCGTCGCGCTCGGTCGAACGCGCGTAAGAAGGGCTCTGGGTACGAGAACGTTGTCCGACAAGGCAGTGAGCTCTCTATATATATATCTGGATCAAAAACGTCAGTCATTCGGCCAATGAGGAAAGTAAAACCAGGATGGCAGAATATATAAAAATTTGCTAACATTTGTTTACACAATTCAACACTTTAGAGAACTCACATGCCTAGTCATTGTTCTAGTTCACAGTTCCTGTGAGAATAAAACAAAGGTAAGGCGAGACTTTTTTTATTCATTGGTTTACGGATCCGCCGACCGTAAATATTCAGAAAGTGAAAAATAAAAAAAAAATTTGGATGTCAAAAATTTTACAATTTTAGTTAATTTTAATTAATTTGGGGTTCTGACATGAAGTACACTTCAAGTGAACTTTGACTCTAGGTACTGCTGGCTCATGTTATCGTTGTGACAATCAATATGGAGATTAGCCACGTTTTTGCGTTTTTTTTAAATTGACGCTAAAAATTTTTATAAAGATTATTAATTTCGGTTCTCATTTATACTCAGTTCGTTTTTTCTAAACATTTTTTCCGACCTACCGACCTCTTATTTTTAAAGTCAAATCCGTAAACCAATAAATAAAAAAGTCTCGCCTAACAAAGCTTTAGAATTATTTACATGAGTGAACGACTCTTATACATAATTATAATGCTTAGTTATTGGTTGCTTATTTTGAAGAAAAAGATATAGATAGATAGATTGTTTCAGGCCATGTAAATTATATTGACTGTCTATGTTTCAACTAGTATCCACTATAAGGATTTAGTAGCATAGATACAATGTTACCCTTCGTTTCTAGTTATGAATAAAAAGAGCAAATGATATACTTTTCTAGATAATTGATGTACCATTGCGACTATCGGCACAGGAACTTCTTAATAATCCTTCACTGCCAGGTTTGTCAATATTCAAATGAAAACACGGCGGCAAAAATTAAACGGTCACTAAATAATGAATGTTTCATGAGGTGAAAGATGGAATGTTCCATTTAACGAGGCGACAGCCGAGTTGAATGGAACATTCCATCTTTCACCGAATGAAAATATTCTTACCATTGCACGAATAAAAACATTCATTATTTGTTTTATATAATACTAAAATAGACTAATAGATTCGTATGAGAAGCATTTTGACGGATGCAATTTATCGAAAATACAAAGAGTGCAATGGAATAAAACGTATAGTACAATTGCACTCGCAAAGAGTGCAATGGAACGTATTCCATTGCACTCTTGGGAAATGGAATTTTCTATTCAATATCACGTGACCATAAACAGCCAATTAAACGATCAGAATTCAATAAGGTATTATATAATATACAAATAATGAATGTTTATGAGTGCAATGGTAAGAATATTTTCATGAGGTGAAAGATGGAATGTTCCATTCAACGAGGCGACAGCCGAGTTGAATGGAACATTCCATCTTTCACCGAATGAAAATATTCTTACCATTGCACGAAGAAACATTCATTATTTGTTTTATATATACCAAAATAGACTAATAGATTCGTATGAGAAGCATTTTGAGGGATGCGATTTATCGAAAACACAAAGAGTGCAATTGTACTATACGTTTTATTCCATTGCACTCGCGGAGAGTGCAATGGAACGTGTTCCATTGCACTCTTAGGAAATGGAATTTTCTATTCAATATCACGTGACCATAAACAGCCAATTAAATGATTAGAATTTAATAAGGTATTATATAAAAACAAATGGTGATTGCCAGTGTCGAAGTTTATTTAAAAGGCGAATGATTGTCTCTGACAACACCTCAGCACGAAGCAAGCGGCGAAGGGTTTTGGCATCAAAGCGGTTGTTTATGTCGTTGGGCGAGAAACTGCCCCCACATATCATCATGGGTAAAGCGAATTTGATGTAAAAACAACCAAGGCTGGTGACAAGAGTGTTCATGTGGTTCTAAATATGTCCGAAGCTCAAGGTCCACAACAGCCACTTGAAATCGCTCAGTGAGTCACAACAACAACACCTGAGACTACTCCTGCACTTCCGCAGATAGCAAGTCGAGAAGCTGAGATTCAAGTAGCTGTTATGGACCAGAAACTTGTGTCCAAAACCCAGTACCATGAGCTTTCCATGAACAACTCCGAGATGGTTCGTTCACATAAAGTTGATGCTGCAAAAAAATGCATGTCATCCTGCATCAAAGTGCATAACTTCAAAGATGGAGAAGAAGGTGTACCCATTGATGGTTCCTACCAAGACGTGAAGGATATACTTGACTATCTATTTGAGATTCCAGAGTTTTGTGAGCAACTCCAAAACATGGAGTCTCATGGAGTTCTCCGCCTTCGGTTTGCTGGTGATGGTGCCAGAACATCGAGAAACAAAAATACTGTTGTATTATTGTTTAATATTATTGACGAGGGTACGTCAAATGAGGAGTTCATAATCGATACCAATATTTTTGGCAAAATCTTTACATGTCCCTGCTTGCATGCGTAGGACTTGCTTACAGTAGGTTAATGATACAAGTACTGTATATTATGTTATAAGTTTCAGAGTGTCTAATGAATATTTTCTTATATTTTTGTTGCAGAAAATACAGCTAGCTTTCAATACAATTACCCAATTGCCATCTGTAATGGGGATGAGAAGTATGACTTCCTGAAAAAATCGCTGCAACCAATTATGGATAGCATGTAAAGGCTGCAAGAGAATGGGTAAATTTACTATTTTGTTATAATTTTTCACTTTCTCCACATAATTTATGAAGCATTTTGCTTGTATACTGTACATGGTCAACCAAAACCATACAGCAAGTGTTAGATAAATTATAATTGTGTGCTATTTGACTCTTCAAAAAAATCAATATAGTTCATTCCCTGCAATAATTTTTAATTCTAAGTAAATGTTTTAAGATATACAGCCACAAGTGGACCTCTTACTGGTCAGAAGCTGAAAGTCGAGTGGTTCTTATGTGCAGATTGGAAATTCCTTGCACTGTTATTAGGGATTAATCCAGGTAAAATAACTACAACTAGTGGTTATGTTGGTAAAATAACAGGCATGGTCCGCCCTTTATGAACTTTGACAAGGTGCAAAATTTGTATATTTGGATCGATGTAATGCATATTTTTTGCACATTTTCTAATTGTTAATAGTAATTACATGTATTCCAGATGATCTTGATATGCGGAAAAGTACTGGCACTAGTTGTCAAATAGAAATCCATTTTATGATTAAAACAACTGAATATCTCCTGTAATATACTTTATTTCGATTCCATATTTTTGTCAGAGCTATAGTTCTCATAACCAAACATAATTACGAAATTTCAACTAGTTTCATAAAAAATAACGAAAGATATAATTGACTGAATACATCAAAATGGATTTCTATTCGGACAACCCTTTCTGAGCGCTGATTGGCTAAAATACGAACACGAGATCACCTGGTTAATTTAATATTTATTTATTTATTAGCTAACAATAAATACTTTTGCCTCTGGTGTCCATCAGCTGGTGGATATCAATCGACTGGAATTTGATGCAATTCGGAACCGGTATAGAATACTTGTTGCCAACATTCTGTTTGATCAATTCCCTGCTTTTGCAATGTTCAGAAACTATATACCTGTGAGCACCAGCTGTGAGTATCCAAATGAGATGGCAAGAAAGTCAGAAGTTTTGACAATGCCTGTGGTGATGAAAGACGAGAAGAAGTATTCAGACTGTGTTGATGTCTTGGATCAACTGGAAAAGTGGACACAGGAGATTTATGCGGCAGCTAGACTATGTTCCCCAGAACCTGAACCGTCAGAGGATATAACTCCCACAATTGGAACCACATCCAGACCTGACCAACCTGCTTCTCATGTCCCACCTGTTACATCTGACAGAGATCCACTGCATGGTGTGAAAATCCCATGCTTTGGTGATCAACTCACCCGAGTTCGATCTGCTGGGGCAAGAGACGTAAGAGCATTCAGCAAAGCAGAGATTGGATCACTTATATCCTTTCTGTATTGTTGACTGGCATACTAAGAGAATTTTTTTGAAGGTACAGTATGCTTACCAGTTTCAATGAGGGGGACAATGGAGAGGTATTCAATACTGTAAAAAGGACCAGTAAATTTTGTCAATTATTGCAATTTTTCCCATAAAATACTGCAAAACTGTTTCTACTTCCAAAACATAATGACATAAATAACATTGTTTAATCATAAAATGTGCATGTAAATTGGGTGCAAATAGTGTGTGTCTATTTTATATCAACAGTAGTCTAGTACTGTATATTCACTGATGTGATTATTGTGGCTATTGTTCTTAGCCAAATGTTACTCCAAAGAAGGTTAGAGGTTGTAAAACATGTGCCTAAAAAGTAACTTAAATCTTTGTGAATAAGTTTGAGATTTTATTTACTTTCTAATCACACGTGTTGCAACCTCTAGCCTTTATTATATCCATCCATAGCTGACCTTGATAACACATTTTTATGTTACTCCAATAAAATAAGGTTTACCCCCATAAAATGTACAATAAGGTTATTTATTTGTTTAGACAATTTTCAAAAACTGTACAAGAATTCTGGCCGAGAAAAGGGGACACTTCGCTTCTTTAGAGAGAAGTTAAATCGCAGAAATGTGACTGTTGACGTTAAACACTATGAGGACTGTGAGCAGCTGTTCTTCAGTGTTGGTAAGTGCTTTGTCATTGAAGCCCTATTGGAATTTTTTCAAATGGATGATGCAAAGTGCAAACCAACAGTGAATGGTCCTCATAGCATTAACATCTTCAACGAAGCCTACAGGAAGACCTACATCAAGGATATTCTGGACCAGTTCCTCGACGAGGAGTTTATTTTCCATGATGAAAATAAGGTGGTGCAAGATGGTGTTTGGTGCTACAGTGTCAACATTGTTAAGTCTTATGGTGCTTGCAGATTTTAAGAATGCTGTTTCCACTGGCAATGGTGAATACATTTCAATCCTAAGGAAGCATTTCTTTGCAACACCTGGATTTAATGAATTTTCAATTGAAATGCTGATCAACATCCTCCAGTGTGAGGTGTTATTGTCGGAAGCTGAGGCTCATTGCTGTAAGTGGGCTGCCACAGTTAACTGGAAAGGTGGTGTTGGTCGCAACATTGAGATCGACCTCTTTCAGGAAAACAGAAACTGCGAGATGAAGAAGTTGATCAGGTCGATGGGTGCCAACAAGACGGAGAAAGCGATTGAGAGAGCAAGCAAAGCATCTGGAGGTGTCTCAAAGATTGTGGAAGCGTTTGAGGAGGGTGTGAATATTTGCCCAAAATCAGGGTCACACACCCACAAACAATCTACTGATGAGGAGAAAATTATTAGTGTGGACTTAAGAAGTTTAACGCCTTTTAGGGAAGAAGAGGGTTGATCATTTGAGACTTTTGTTGGCATCTCACATGATCCAACCCATTCATTGGACAAGGTTAAATTTGAAGAATGGATTGATCGCCACAAGAAGAACATCTTGTTGCATTATCCAGCTACACAGGAAGCTGAACAATCCAGTGAGGACAGTGAGTGAACAACTTACAACAGAATTGTTTTAAAATTACTTAAATCTACATTCATTATAGTTCACACAATCACAAATTTGATCAACCCATTGACTGACGAAATGCACTAATGTGACCCTTTATTATTGTACTCTATATGGGGACAGATTATTTTACTCTAATGCCAAGTCAGGTGATCATACATGACAATAGAGTCTTGCTAGTTATTGGGTTGCTCTCTCTGGGAGAATTGTCTCTCTCTGTTCATTGTTAGTGTTTCATTGGCTTGTCTTTGCATGAGAAATAGTTGTTTAGAACTAAAACAGTAAGTCTGGATCAAACAAGGGTGAGAGTTGGTAGTGTCACCATATTTGATAGCTGTTTTTCACGCTGTATACCCTGCTAGCAGTGGTTTCTGAGCTGAGCTTGGGCTCAGAAATCACTGCCAGCAGGGTAAATGCTGTATTAACTTTTACAGTTACACATATTTTGTTAAAGTTAAAATGTGTTCAAATGTTCATCAAGATTTTATGTCATCAACTCTTGTCAACTCTTGTCAACTCTCATCCTTGTTTGATGTTAAATCACAACTTTTAGCAGAGAACCAAAATATTGATGACTAACATAAAGTATTACTAATTGACTTGTAATTCTATTTCAGAACCATTCTCAGTGTTATGAAAAAAAATTTCATATTTAAACTAACACTGCTACGGGACAACGAAAAATTCATTGCATAGAAACCTAGTATAGAAATGAGAATATAAATTTTTCATTGTCTCATAGCAGCGTCAGTTTAATATGAAATTGACTCATAAGTCTATAGTATCTGTGTTCTGCATCATAATAGAAATAAGATTATATATTGTATATTATAATGAGTAATGACTATATATTATTATATGGCTTTTCAAAATTCTCTATTCTGATTGGTTGACAAGCGATCTAGACCGTGGTCCGTATTTTCCATATCTGGACCGTTGTCCTGGATGTCGTTTATCTGGTGGGAAATTTAAGTTCTATATAGTGGTTTTCTTAGGTGTTTCACCCTTGCAAACTTGTGTGTCATTAAAATTTACAGATAAAAATTTCAAACAACCAAATTGTTTTTGATTGAGCATGCATGCCTACCGTATATTGTTACCCAGTGAAACTGATGATAGCCGATTTGATTTGTGTGAAAAGCATACTGTATGCTCACAGACTCAGTTCAGCCATATAATAAACTGATTATTGACCTCGCTTGTTCGGTCTGTACTGTGAAATATCAGACCTTGCTTCTTCCAATCTTTATCCGCCCCTGACATGCTAAAAAAAGTTAACATGGAAACAAGGCCATTGGGTAAAAGGGAATAATCAGTAAGGTCTATTGGTAAAGTAGTGACATACAATATATATGTTAATATTGAAAAAATGTGAAAACATGACCCAAAAACTTCTCTCATCAAACACATTTTATCCAAAGTGTATGTAAACATTTTAATTGAGGAATATTTACAAGATAATCCAATATAAGTACCATAATCGTTGAAACATTTTAGTCTTTTATGGGTCAGAAATTGAAATACAAAAGTACATAAGTATGATACTAATAAACTATTGGTTCATATTTAAGTATACAGCTGATTCCAAAAAGCTGTAATCAAAGTACATATTAATTGCAAGCTTTAATGTCAAGTTCTGTGCAAATTTTGGTGGCTCAGGATTTTTGTTGAAACACCATACCGAAATGAAGCATTGGCAATTACAGTACATGAACACTTTGAAGAAAGCATTGCCAATCACCTGAATACTTTCAGTTTTATCATAAAATTTGCATGCTGTATTGTACGATTGACTATTGCATGTGACAACATTTATTGAATTTGGTATATAACAGAGAAGCAAACTATAAATACTTTAGATGAAGGCCAATCCCCATTTGTCAAAATAACAAGTTGACAATCTGAAATATACATAAAATACAAAACAATGGACACTCCGAAAACGGTTAATATTTTGATTCAACATTTCGACTAACTTGCAGTCATCATCCAGGAATTTCCTGATGATGACTGCAAGTTAGTCGAAACGTTGAATCAAAATGTTAACCGTTTTCGGAGTGTCCATTGTTTTGTATTTTATTAAATTACTCAGTGGTAACTGTAACTTTTGAAATATACATATAGTATGTATTCTGTAACATATTGTATATTTGAGAAACAGACCAAAGATCTCTCTCAGAATTGAAAATGTCTAACAATTTAATATATTCCCTTAGGGTTCAAGTGTTATAATTATTAAAACTTACAGTTTCTCCATAAGAAGACGTATATTTTTCCTATCTGGATTTCCAATGATGCTCTTGCACTTCTTTAACCCTAAGGAATCTTGAATGCACTGGATGTCAATACGAGAGGCAGTTGCGGTCATTGCAAGGACAGGTATGTCTGGGAATAAGGCACATAGGACACCTAACCTCTTGTCCTGTCTGAAGTCACTCCCCCTAAAAATATAATTAAAAATAGTGTTTACTGTAAAGTATAGAACTGAACAGAGTAGTACAACTGACTATACATAAAGGTAAACAAGTTTCTACAGAATATCTATCAATATTTTCCCCCTGAGAGGGGGGGGGGGGGGGCAGGCAATCCAGGGGAATTTTTACATTTTTTTAAATTCTTAAGCAAAGTACAGTTGTCAAAAGCCCCCACTCTTGGACTGAAATTAAGGCACAAAATCTTAATTGAAACCAGAAGTTCAGCATATTCTCTAAGGGGCCTTCTCAAAAGTTGAGCATATTATTATTATTATCATTATTATATAATTATATTGAGAGCGCACCACAAGCCTTGATAATTATGGCCAGGCATTTAGATAAACAAGTCACGACCATGTCATTTTATCTAAGGGGCTTTGCTTAACCCATTGAGCGCCAGTGCTCTCCCCTTGACAAGTAAAATCGTCTGGTGTTAGACAAAGTAAAATACTAAAGTAGGGTGCAGCAGGGTGCAATGCCACTCAATGGGTTAACTAGACACATGGGCAGATACGCCAGTTAACCCATTAAGCGCCAGCACTCTCCCCTTGACAAGTAAAATCGTCTGGCGTTAGACAGAGTAAAATAATCTGGCGTTAGACAGAGTAAAATAATAAAGTAGGGCGCATCAGCTAGGGTGCAATGCAACTCAATGGGTTATTTATAAAGACATGAATTGGTATTTCTATCACTACTCTGGTTTTGTTCTAACCAGAGTATGTGATTATATACCTGGTTGCCATGAACGAACAAAGTTTATGGTGTTTCTAATTTTAATAAATGGTGTCAGTTTCAATAAAAACGAGTTTTATACTAACCAGTCCACTATGCAATGAGCTTCATCAATTACAATTGCCAGAACATTCCCTTGGTATGTCTTGCTCAGCAGTAAATTACGTCCATATTTGCTCGAGATAGGGTCTCTGGATGGGAAAAACGATTTGATATTGGCCATTGCGTAGCTTTTTCTCTTCACAAAGGCTAACATTGATCTCGGCGTTCGCTTCAAAATCCACATTCTCCGGCTCTGAATCGTATGCCATTTCTTGCTTCTTCATGTAAATTATCGACGATCTGATACCACTCATGCTCAGGCGAGATACTTGGTCACTCATTAAAGAGTTCAATGGTGATACAACGATGACAATGCAGTCAACTACTGCTGTAGAAATACCTCTTGATCTCCATGAAAGAAGTAAATCGCCACGCAACTTGAACTTGGCAAACAACAACATTGGCAGCAGATGGAAAATCAATGACTTTGCATAGCCTGTTGGCAAAACACACACCACATCCTTTTCAAGATAGACGTTTTCAAGACAAATAGCTTGTTTTGGTTTTAGAATAGTGTTTTGGTACATACTATTTAAAACCACAACATAAAAATGCTATGTAATCTAACATGGCGGAAACCGGAGAGAAAGCATGTAAAGTGGAAGCATGTAATATGACACCTTTCTCACACCCCCTAAGGCAATGAATCTCTATGCTGTGATGTCATCAGCCCCGACCAGGGTCTTTGCTTCCCAAGAGCAAAGATCCTGGGAACAAGGTTGGTTTATTTTCTGGCCAACTTGATAGCAACTGGGCATAGACTTAATAATAATCAACTGGATCATGCTTATGAACATTCTATCACAACAAAGTCGTCATGGGGTTGGCTATCGAAAGAAAGCAAGATATTTCACGATTCTCATCTTGGTGTTAATATCAAAGATTTTCGGTTCATCAACGATGATATGTGGCCTTCCTGGGAATATAAGCTAAGTAATTTACACATTGCTAACTCTAATTTAATGTCGAATAAATTGGCACATCGCTTTGAGCCGGTCAATTCGAGCCTAACATGCTGTACATTTCTCGTAATGAGAGCTAAGAGAACGAGGAAAGGCTATTGCTTATTACCCGAACCCGTGTGCTACTAGACAATTACTTATCAGATCTATGAATATCGAAATTCACCCTGGGCCAGAACATGAACGCAGCACAACATCGAACATTACGAACAATGATGGGCGAAAGTGAAAAAATCGTTCAACTGCACCCTGTATTTTATGTGAGAAACCATGTAGACGTAACCAAATCAGAATAGTCTGTGAACGTTGTTTGAACCTCAAGTACAAAAGCAACAGCGTGTTAGTAGGACCTGTGATGCTGGTTTAATTATGACCGAATTATCCTTTCATAATGTTAGAGATATTTTGGACGTATTCGCTGATGACTTAAATAATTGTTTAAATGCAAGTCAATCTGTTGCCAAGGAGTCAGAAGATACCCATCTTCAAATTCTTAAATCCAAGTCGAAACAAATGAATATTGTACACCTAAATACCCAAAGTATGACTTTGAGCATCGATGAATTTCGACTGTTATTAGAAACCTACAAATTCGACATTGCCGCTCTTAGTGAAACGTGGCTACAGGATAATCCCTTGTTGTTAAATCATGTTAGTATACCGGAGTACACTTTCGAATATCATAATGGAGACAAAATTAGGGGCGGCGGAGTTGGATTTTATATAAGAGAATCTATTTCATATAAACGGCGCTACGACATCGAGGAAAAATACCCTGACGTGGAACAAATGTGGCTCAAATTGCCTGGCCGAAACACGCATAGTAGACTTTTACTTGCTGTTGTTTATCGTCCCCAAAAGCTTCTTTCATTTCCTAATACACCAAATCGAATAACGCATACTGATGTTATTCCATGTCCAACCATCAGCGATCATGACGCTCCCTACGTGTGTGTTAATATACATACTATAAGATACAAACCATGTTATAAAATTATACGAGATACCTGCCAGCTGAACCTTGACAATTTTTATAAGGACTGTTTATCAGTTCCTTTTAGTTTATTATATTCATTCAACAACCTGAATGATCAACTTAGTATTTTTAACGATCTACTCAGTGAATGTCTAAATCGTCATGCAACCCTCAAGAGAATAAAGGTTACCCACCCACCCTGTCCATGGCTTCAATCCGACGAATTAAGAAAGCTACAATCTGAACGTAATAAACTCAAGGTATTGGCACACAAGAGTCCCACTGACACAATATGGGAATCTTTACTTGGCAGTAGAATGTCAGGGTTCCGCAAAGGGCATTCAACCACCACTGTTCTGATGGGAATTAGAGACGATCTTTTAAAGGCACAAAAGAGTGGTGAGGTAACATTAATGCTCTTAGCCGATTTTTCCAAATCATTCGATATGCCTAATTTAAAAACGGCTTTTCTTCACTGGATGGTCAGCTATTTAACTGATTGCTATCAATATTAAGGTTAAGCTGCTTTTGCATGAAAGAAGATCATAAACTGAGTGGACACCGCGGTGTTTGTGATATGCAGTTATTTTTTAGCATTTTTGTGACATAATGCTTTATATACCGGAGTTTTATCGGTTTCAAAGCTTAAAATCGTGTAACTTGCATCCGTAGTCATATTCTTTGTATTCTTTCAACGCTATAACTACCAAACTTAATTCTCAAGAATGTTTTAACTATCAGTTTTTTCCATGGCTAGACGTCTGTTTAGCTATACGCGCCGGTTGGCATGACGTCCTAATTGGGTATACCTTACTTCACACTTTTATTTGTAAATGCAAAACTACTTCGATTCCAAGCATGAAACTTTTGTGGTATAGCAAGCAATAATCAGGCTTTTAGATGCTGTAATTTTTGTTTCAAACTTTTAGGTACCAGGAACGTTTTATACCCATTAAACTTAGCCATTTTTTGCATAGTTTGAAAGGCTTCGAAAAGGGGTCCCTTAAAAAAATTCATAATAAAAAACAATTAAACTTAGGATCGTTATAACAGTCAGATAGCAAACTTTAATAGTACCTTGAAACATGTTAGGAATATGGAGTTCATCGGTTTCATATTTATCCGTCAGTCCTTTCATAAAGTTGGTTCGAGCATGAAAATTAACTCATTACCCGCGAAATCAGGATTTTGTAAAAATCTTACGAGAAAAAAATTGCAGCAACTTTTTAGTATTTTTCCATTGTAGGAACACTAAATGGGTTGATTTGGTGAAATAAAAAAAAATTGGAATATTTTCATTTGACTTGAGATTCTCGGTTTTTACAGGCAGACACTCTTAATTCCCTTCCTATTGATATATTCAAAATGAAACTAATTAGAACTCATTTGTTTCTCAAACAAAGGATTTCTTATTAAACATTGCTATTTGTGACATTTAAATACTTACTAATTTTTCCTGTACTTGGAACTACTTTTATACTTTTATAATATTAGATACTAATTTATTAATATATATTCCAAATGTAGAGCTACTATGCAGAAATATTGGAATAAATTCATTATTATTATCATTATAATTGTGACAGTGATCCAGACGAAGTAAATATAGATGAAATGGAAAATGTATAGCATTCAAGAGCATCACTAATCTTAATATTAATTGACTAATTGTAATACAGGTATAAATGAAATTTATATTAAAGTATTTTATCTTAATGTACAGTCTCATGCAGAGCAGGCCTCGAATTTCACTGAAATCAATCCACAGCAATGGCGTTAAAAATTGCTGTAGAATGTAACAGCTGTCTACAGCAATTTTGGCAGTCTCCACAGCATTTTTTCTCCCTCTACGGCAATTGCCACGATAAAATACAATCCCTGATGCACATGCATTCACTTGATTTCCCACCTATTTAGCTAATTAGTCTGGGAAAATGAATGGAAATAAATAAATGGCATTCTGCTTGGTGTGAAACTGTGCAGTAATTTAAAATGTTTTAAGTATATCACTTCTTTATATCCTTTACTTAATATCAAACGTGTCTACAAAACACCACAGATGTGTATACAGTAGTGTATAGTTGCCCAAAATGTCAAGGCCGGAGAGAGCCAACTATGGCCCCCAGGACAAAATGACGATTTGTGAACATGGGCCCGTCCCTCTGGAAATTGCCAATGATAATCAATATACAAACATTTTACTGAGATTTCCAGGCCCCCCTGAGCACTCTGGGCCCCCCTCGCCGGCCTTGCAAAATGTTGGTGGTGTGAAGTTTTTGGCTTAAAATTTAGTGTTTAATTCTACTTTCTTAAAATATTAGAGTATATAGTGCGCCCCCCTTTCACTCCCTCACTTAATGTCCTCCACTGTGTATTATTATTATAAATCCCCCCCCCATAGCTTTAGATGTTCCTTAATCCAGTGGTAATAATCCCTATAATGTAACTGTGTTAGAATATTCCCATCAAAATGTTCAAATCCTGGTATCCTTCCCCTCCTGTATATTTAACTCACCATCTTTATCCACCGATTGTAGTATTAATTCTATCCCACTGAGGGACGTAGTGACTCTTTTAGCATTTGCTTCATTTGCATTAGGACCTGAAGCTTTCAAGCAAGCCTTTAGCGGATTATTTAAGTGCTCCAGCCTTAGGTTGAAAGGGATATTTTTGCCTATCTTTCCACATGTTGCAAAAACGATTCCACTTAAGACTAAATGCCTGTGCTTCACTTAGTAATGAATACATTTTTACTAATAATAATGTTACATACAAATATTTGGTGTGTCCATAACTTTTGTATGCCATTAATGCCAACTTATATAATGAGAACATCCCCCATCACCTTCTTTCATGGCATTTCCAAAATCAAAAGGAGACCATAGGTTAACTTAGCTTTGTGATAGTTGTATTTGTAGTCTTCTGTTGTTTGATCATTTGATGTAGAACAGGTGTCATCTGATATAACAAGATCTTCATTCTTTTTTTTCTTCTCATGCCTGTTTAAATGTTAAATAACACAATAAATACAGTATTAGCACCTTTGTTTGTTTGTTTGTTTGTTTGTTTGTTTGTTTGTTTGTTTGTTTGTTTGTTTGTTTGTTTGTTTGTTTGTTTGTTTGTTTGTTTGTTTGTTTGTTTGTTTGTTTGTTTGTTTGTTTGTTTGTTTGTTTGTTTAAGGGAATGATTTGGTTACTTGTCACCAAATGCAGCAGTCCATTTATTTTCATTCATTTGGAAAATAAACAGAAAAGTAAACTGCTCATAGTCTAATTGCATGGGGAAGATGTGGGTGTTTATATTAGGTTAACCTGGCTGTCTGCTATTAAATATCTGTTAACTACTAGAGCGCAATGCCCACTAATGTATGCCCGAACATTGCTTGTATGTATTCTGGTGCATGCATGTACACATAACATAAAGTTAGATTGTAATGTATGACATGTTTCTTGTTGCCTTGGTCTTATAGACAAACCCACATCCACTTCTGCACCTATAATATCCCTCACTATCCATTAACTCAGAGGAGTGAGTATCTTAAATTTCAAGTCCTGGGTGAACTTCAATCTCATGTCTGAAATATAATAGTAGAGAAATGTTAAATATATATTTTCTGAAAACCATACATTTTCTGATTAGATGACATAATATTCAAACCTGACACGCCCTGAATGAAATGCATAGTCATGATCACTACCTGGGGCTCTGCATTGGTATCTAGCTTCATTCTTCTGGTGCAAGCTTTTTACTTCCTCAGCAACGACTTCAACTGTGTCCTCATCAAAAACTGATATTTTCAAATATTGTGCTATTATGTCATCTAGCCAGGCCTTTTTCATCATTTTTGAATTCCATGATTTTGGTATTTCAAACTCTTGTGGTGGATCTGTCAAATTATTCACATACATTGTATATCTTACTCTTTTGAACCAATTAATGGCTCTTGCATGTATAGTTAATGAATAGTGTGAATACATTGGCAATGGATGATAGGTTTAGTTGGGAGCAGTGACATAGCGACAGTGAAGTGTCATCCCCCCCAACTGTGAAGGTAAAATTTTGGAATCTCCAGGTAAAATTTGTGTAATAAAGTCACTATTTTTGTTGGGATATGACAAGTGAACCCGCACTTCATGTAATGGGCTTGATTACAGTATAATATAAACTTTATTTCATAAAATACTTTGACAAAAACATCACATAAAAGTACAAAACTACAATCTATCCATGCTCTCTCGACCTCGTGTTCTTTTCTTACCCAATGTTCTTTGCACGCTCGCTACATTCCTACTACAGTCTACCCTTTCTCAATGGTTTAGTTTTTAACAAAACACGAAACTACTTTACACTACTACTTTAGTTAATTGACTCTACGCTATGTTAGTTACTCTAGTACTGATGTTTCTATAACAAATGTTTCTAATAAACAAAATTACAACCACAATCAACAATGTTTAAACTTGTGAAAAAATGTTCATATCAAGTTTTATGTAATACGTTCTGCCAGCTGCTCCCCCTTCTAGAGAGAGATATGGACATTTTGTAACAATACCACAAAGTTTACCGAGTCTTGCGATGATTTCTCTTGCTTCCGGTAGTTTTTGTAAATAGCTTTACAGGCTTCGGAAGAATAAGCTTTATGGTTTGGTTGGTCCTTTAGATAATTGGCAATAGCATGTGCAACTTTAACGTTGTCAGGATTGAGATGCGTCTGTCGTGGTTGTAGAATATCGTCTTTGGAAATGCTACTTGATTGACCATTTTGTTCCTCAGGCTCACAAATATCTTCATGTTTATCAGGGATGCCTTCAGGCACAACTACAATTTTTTCAATATTTACAACTTGAACATCATCAGGTTTCTGTTCATGACGAATTTCTAAGGCCTGTTTCAAACGTCGCGCTTCTCATGTCCTGAACGCATTAATTCTTTCTCAGCGGGTACCATTACGCGTAGAACGTGCAGGATCTATGGATGTTTTCGTTGATATCTTCGATTCAATAAACGCTATGTCGTTGAAAATACCACCATTCGATTCAGTGTAAAAATATGTACTTATTCATAACAATAGTTTCAGTCAATGGCAACATTATAGCGATTTATGAACTTTGAAAGTCAAGCGAGCTCGTATATGATCAAATTACGCAATATTACTAACAAATTATAAACATACCTTTTGCCGAACATATAACTTCGGCCCTTTGAGATGTATGCTCATTGTGACACTCTTGTTCGATTAACCATTCGAAATGCTGTATACTGTCTTATTTTCAAAGTTCTATCTGTAAATTCTAGCCATTTATTACCAGACTTACATTTCTAGTCCGAGTTTGATTTTATCCAAACCGGAAATACGACTTAAAAGTGTCGAGAAAGGTCAGAAATGGATTCTACAGGTCAAATTGCACCTATACGCGTGAGTTTGACGTCATCCCGGCTAAAGGAGCTCCTTATTGGCCATGTATTACATGCGAGTAAAACCCGATATCCTTGAAAAATTCAAAATAAATATTTCTATTCGCTGTTTTCATACGAAACTTTCTACACGAAAGCGCTTGAATACAAAGAATCTTTTACTCATATAGGATTTTAGAATATGACAAATAGTTTAGAAAATATTCAACTTTTTCTCGATATATCGAACAGAATGTTTGGTCAAGCGGTGAGTATAAATATATGATTGTTTTGGTTTGTGTGATGTTATGACGGCACTTGACCCCCCGTTCGAAAGGTTATTTCGAGAGGATTTCAATGGTGCGTTTTGTTTTAAAGGGGGGTAAATACTCGCCGAGATATTTACATTAGAAACATTGACTCGTAATGTAATGCGAAACCTGCTGTCGGCAAGGGCGGCTGAGAAAGAGTTAAAAACAAAAGATAATCAGCTGAAATGCCTCATTATCTATTGTTTCTAATGCGTTTGGCACATGAGAAGCACAACATTTGAAACAGGCCTGAGAGGTCTTCTCGATTATGAACGTGACTTACTGGGTTGAATAATTTGAAGCTTGAGCATGCATTCAATCTCATTCTTAATTGCCAACAGCTCGGTTGGGGTTTTCCAATAGGGATGTTTATATACAGGTAAGGCATCACCTGTATTGATATTGTGTTTGAAACCTTTAATTTCATTGAGCATTTGTCCTTGTATAAGAAATGCCGACTGACTAGTACTTAGTGACAATGTCTTTGAAGGCATCTAAAATTTCTGGGCTAACATGAGAGTATTTGTCAGCATCAAGTTCTAGAAGGTCAAACAGTTCCTGAGGTGATACTGGTGTGATATGATCTTCAGGAAATGGATAATGGTGCTTTGTGTTAAATTCAGTGCTATCTTCTTTAAATGACTGCAGTAGAGATGAATCTAGGCCTGCATTTTGGACGTTTCCAAGTTTGTCTGGGATATGAGCCTTGTTGAATTAAACTGTGTGAAGGTTGGGGTTGATCTGAGTTCATTTGTGCCCAAGTTAACCATGCATCAGATAACCGACATGCAGTGGTTGAGGCAGCATCTGTAAAGCTTGCCTTGGCGGCAGTTAATGGCCGAAGCTGGGCCAAGATAACATTGTTATTAATGATCATCCGTTTGTGCTGACAATCAATTGCTAACATTGTTGAGTAACCAGTTTGGGAAATGGGATCAAGTTCCTTTGTTCCTGAATTAATGTAGGGTGTGATATCATCTATTGGAACAGGATTGGTCATATCAATGTCAGTCATAGAAGCATATGGATTCTCCCCCACCCCATAAAATAGGTATTTGCATGGTGGCAATGGCAGATAATTTGGATCTGGCATCAGCAACCGACACAGGGATAGGTTTTCCAAGGTTTTCAAGTTTAAGATCTGGTCGTTTAGAAATAACAATGACTGCATGTGCTTGACTAACCAGGGACACTGAACAACAGCTGTCAATTGGTAATGGTAATTTAACTCCCGCAGAAGACTGGGGCCCACAGAATATGTCGACTTTGCAACACACCCTGTGGATTGGTAACTGCTGGTAAGCCAAATATTTGTGGATCAGACCTGGATGAGCTATTGGGTTGGGTATTGCAAGGTTTAGTAGCGCCTGCAGTGGCATGTGCCTGTGCAGGATAAACAGGATAATGGGATTCACGAAAATTTGAGGAGGGATGTACTGAGTTAGGTGGGTTAGACCTCAGGTTAGGCTGATGGCGAAGTGCTTTGCACCCCCACTTGTTGCGAAAACATCACATAAAAGTACAAAACTACAATCTATCCATGCTCTCTCGACCTCGTGTTCTTTTCTTACCTAATGTTCTTTGCGTGCTCGCTACATTCCTACTACATTCATCTGGGGGGGGGGGGGTGTTGCAAGGTCACATAAATTTGTAAAATTCAGGTAAAATGGTCCACTACACCCCACCCCAAATTTAGTAGGTCCCTGCTTGGGAGAGGAGATCAGACAAATTCTTGTGGGGAACAGCCCTCCCCCTGGAAAATCTTCAAATACTTGACATGCTGAAACCAGGTCATTTTGTATTCCAGGATTGAGGAAAGAATTTGATTAGGCTGCACCTGCACTTCTACCAATGGAGGTGCAATTAATAACAGTATAACTAAATATATTTTACCATTAATAGATTTCATCCCAGCAAATTTCATGAAAGATGCAATGATGTGGGCATCAATTTCCCTATCATGATAATCTTTGTATGCATTATAATCATTTTTCAAACCCTTCTTTGCATTGGTTTTGCCAGTGCGATTCATCAAAGCACAGGAGCTCCCCACATCTGGAGCAGACTCCCTGTTCAGGAACATCTTGGCATCTATCTGTGGTAATAAGTAGTTAAAAAAGTCGCAACAAACACTTTTTTTAGAACAAACAGCACGACATGAAAGCTTGATTTGTACCACACACACACACACACACATATCTCTCTTGATTTTCCATCATAAGTTGAGCCATTTCGGCTGACATGTTTGTATTTAACATTGTTAAACCTGCACAGCACTGTTGATGTAAAAAACATCTGTATTATATCTCACTATATATTTATAAATATCAATAAAAAGAAATTCATGATTAATTCAACTCCATGAATGCATGGTTTATAGAATATGACATACAGATCAATTATTAACCTACCATTTCTGATTTTGTTGAAGTTGCTTCAACATATGGGCAAGGTATGTGATGTACTACCACATTCTTCATTTGTTCAAAAGCTTGAAGATATTTTGTTATAACTCGACTAACAATGACTGCACAGTCAGACTTAAAAGCCTGTTGCTAATTGACTGCAGGCAAAAGGTAATGGAGTGGAAGCTCATCTGTTCTACATTTGGGCACTAATTCTAGTGTTGGATCATAGGTAACTCTGTCCTTAATTACATATTACTGTGTCCAGTGAATAAACTGGTTGTTGCAACTCTTGGTCTGCACTCTTGATTTGACAGTCATATCAAAATTATCAGCAAAATTAACTGTCAGTCCGGCCTGGCTGAAAGCCTGACCATATTAAACATACCTATTACACAAGATATTATTTACCTTCCAGACTTCCACAACATGAAAATAGTTACTTTTTCGGTGGACAGTCTGTACACAATCACTACAGTAAAACTGATGTGGTCTGCAGTCTAAACAATGCATGCTAGCTTGAGCAATAAGAGCCTCTGGACGACCATCAGCATTCCTCAATACATTTCCCACAGAACTGATTTGGTGACATTGCAGAATTTTCCATCTTTACTTTAACAAGATCATCTTCCAAAGACTTCCAATGGTCAGCCTCGTTTACTCGTCTTCATTCGTATTTGGACAGAACAGTTTCAGTGCTACTAGAGGCATGTACTAGAGTCCATATCCATGTTTATACTGTCGTCATATTGATCTACAACATGGCCGTCATTTTCGTTGTCTTCTTGTAATGAACCAACTGCCTGTTCTGTACAACAAAAAAACAACAGAAAGCGACTTATTATCTTATATACACAGTAGTTATATTCTGTGGTTTTTGGCAGCTAGGAATCTTTCTTACATATCCCATATGACTTACTATGGGAAATATAAGGAACCCCCTTATACCATTTCATAACAACTTTGTTATGGGAATGATAGGATTCTATATGGAAATGATCTGGGAACATGATATGGAATTCATATGGTTTTCGATGTATAAACTATGGGAATGGTATGGGTGTAACAAATATCATATTATATTGGGAATGGTATGGGCAATTGTTTTCATCCCATACCAAACCCATGTTAACATCTAACATCCGTTTTTCAGTCATTTTGTATTACGCATGGGAAATGGAGTATAATTAAAATAAAGCTTACCTTAAAACTTACTAAAAATGAGTAAAAGTTTAATCTTTAAACAGTTGCGTCCGTAGAAAATAGTGATTGTTTATACCCAAATATTGTGCTTCGTCCGCCATCTTAAATGAATTCTTGTATGCTAATTTATGCAGATTTAACATCTGTGACGTCACAACCTGGGTTGAAGGTTATAGCACGAAATGTAAATATTTTGCCGGCAATTCTTTCACGATGTACTGTCCCGTTTATGCGTGCACAAGCGATAGCAAAAAGAATACTGAAAAGACACACTTTTTCGCATTCCCAAAGCTGATTAATGAGGAAGAACAAAAACGACGCAACATCTGAATTGAATTTTGCAAGAGAAAAAGCTTTGTTCCATCAAAATGCACGTGTTTATGTTCATTACATTTTAGCCAAGATGCATATATACCCTCACATTCTCCTTGCTTTTTGGAGTCAATAAACTTCTATGGAAAATGCAAATTATTGCTTAAACCCAACGCTGTACCGACTATAAATAAAGCACTTGATGCAGCTAAATCAGACAAGCCTTCAGAAACCAAGAAGAGACAGATAGGAATTCTGTCGAGGAGAAAAGTAAGTGTATTATGTAGTTATGATAGAGGGTCCTAAAGGGGTAAAGTGGATGCTGGTATATGCCTGTTTTTCGGCCAGGAAATGGGGATTTATCCACTGAGACTGGGATTCGCCATCAACAAAAAGCAATAAAAGAATAGGAGAACTGGGATTAGAACACCCCCCTCTCAGGACCCCATTGCTTATGGATACAACTTGATGTAGTATGGAGGGGGAGTGGGCTGAGTGAAGGCTGGCAATAAGGAGGGTGTTGACTAAGCCAGTATTAACAGCCCCCAGCAAGGTCGAAGTGATTAGCTGCTATTAACTTGGGGGGGGGGGGCGGCAGCTAATCAGAAAGCTCAGGGCCAAAAAAAATGCTCAATATTAATAATCATGAACAACAGAGGCATGGCAACATCAACCTCGTACCCAGGGCTTCTGCGCTCCCTGGGTACGAGGTTGTGGCAACATGGGTATATAATTCAAAAAAATTAATATGATAGGGAAATTGGCACCCCGTCTTGGCCAAGGCTGGGGCGAGGGTGCTTTCTGCCCTTCCCCCCCCCCCACATATCCATCTCCGAATAAGAAACCACATGTAATGCAAATGCACATACTTAGTTTTATTTGTTTTTTAAGGAGGTTGATCACTTGATATCTCAAGCAAAAATATCTGTTGAAGCGACAAATGCCACAGAAATTGCAGAACCCACATCTGGCACTGAAACATGCGAACAGGAGGTTACATGCAATGTCGCCAGACCCTCAAACTCAATCCATGTTCAAACTTTGCCAGCGGAATATTTTGGGAGAAGTCAAGGTACACAAACAAAAGAAAGTACCAAAACCAAGGTCACAAAAGGAACACAAACCTGCATCACCAGTGACTTGTTGTCAAATTACTTGTCAAAGCCCAAGATGGTCTCAACCTGTTCACAAACTGATCCATGCAGTCAACATGGTTATGGACAAAGATGAAAACACCAATAGAGATGAAAGTGGGAAAGCAAGTGAAGGTATGAGCATTACACAGGCCACATTGGAAGTTTGCAGAAGTACTAAGACTTAGAGCAATCAGAAAATGAATCCGATGGTGAAGAAAGTTTTGATGAAGAAAGTTGTACTGAAGACTATAGTATGACATCAGGAGAGGAAAGTGAAATGGAGGGATGTCCTGAAAAAGATAAGGAGCAGGATGAAACAATAATTCTCACCAGTGAGAAGTCTGTCAAGGACCAATTAAAATTTATAGTTTGTGAAGAGTCTATTGCAACAACTTTTCGTGTGTGCCTTAAATGTGGAAGCCGCTTCTCTGTTTTGGTCACAAGTATAATTGGAAGCTACTGCAAGATCTTAATCTCATGTTCATCTTCAGCACAGCATAATATATCCTGGTCAACAGGACCCCTTATGAATAGATTACCTGCTTTTAACCTACTTATGGCAGCTAGTATCCTAAGCACTGGTATGGAATCTAACAAAATAATGAGATTTATGGAATCATTAAACATTTTGTGCTTCAAGAGGCGAGAGTTGTCAAACATCCAAAGTGCATATGTTATCCCAGCTGTAATAAGTGCTTGGAAAATGGAACAGCATAAATTATAGGATGATTTAAAGGGAAAAGCAACTGAGATAGCATCAGACATGCAAGTGGATAGCCCAGGCCATTGTGGACTACTTGGTGCTGGAAGTACACTTGATGTCAACAGAAATGTCATTCTCCAGAATCAAATAATCAAAGTAATTTGATGAGTTATAAGTAATGATATGCTACCTACATATACTAACATGTTAACAAAAACCTAACAAAATGTGCCATTATATTTATAGAGCACAGAAGTTAAGAATTCAAATGGAATGGAATTGGAATCCCTTAAAAGACAACTTGCTTACCTTGAAGAGTCTAATGTGGAAGTCAAAACGCTTGTCACAGATAGGCATACACAAGTATCAGCCTACATGGCTCAAGAAAGACCAAATATCAAACATACTTATGATGTATGGCATTTAGCAAAAGGTAGATGCTCGTATACCGGTACATAAATATTTCCAATAGTTAGGGACACTGTCATACGAGAGTTGCATATACCAGCCATGGTAAAAAATTTTCCTATTATGTCATTTTTTAACTCACATTGCTTTTAGGGCCCCTTTTCGTGTGGGACATTTCTGTTCTTATTTACAGCAGCCTTGCAAAACCTTAGTAACTGTTTCATGTCTGCATCTATAGGCGAGAAGAAAAGGTTGCTGAAAATTGCAAAAACCAAGAAATTTCAAGCTATAAAGCCTTGGATTGTGGTACAGCTATTAAATTTAGATACTCATTAGTCTGGTAGTGTTTGCTAAATTTGTGTAAGTGATTGGCTGAAATTAAATTTTACTTCTTTTTGTCTAGTCTATCATAAATCACATTTATTGGGTGACCAGTTCAAGCAAACATGAAGATGAAAAGGAGGAAAAGTGGTTGAGCCTTTTGAATCATATTGTCAATGTGCATGTTCATAAAGATTTTGAACTTTTTAGGGTATGCACCCATGAAGTATTGGATAGAGAATGGCTAAAACCAGGTATGAGAGCCATGCATAGACAGATTTTCAGATTTTGCTGTGAAGGCATGCCAAAAATTCAGGGGGGGACTGAGCCAAAGGGAGCATAGAGCCTGCACACATTTCCTCTCATTCATAAAACTCAAAAAATTAAATTTTGGTTTCCAACTAGGTTCTGCAGCGTACAAGAAACTGGAAGAAAATTTAACCCGACCCAGACTAATAACGGCAATTCGGAAGTTATCAGATTACCACCAAACATCATCGCTGGAAGCAAAACATGCACTGGATAACCAATTTGCTACTAAAAAGATATACTACCCATATCATTCTTTGATGGCCAGGTTTATATATTACCAATTTGTGTGTTCTCTGTAAATAAATCATGAGTGGTTAACCATCTTTTACTTTTAGGTTATTTTGCTCAAATATGCATTTTAATGAAAACTCACAAAGGAAACAAGCCAAGACAAAAGAGGGAGAAGACCGGTGGGTTGTCATTTACCCAAAGGCACACAAAGGGGGAAAATCTATTGCAAGAAAAATAAAAGAGGAAGCAACATACAGTAAGTTTAACAGCAAATACAGTAGTATTAGTCAATTCATCCTACCTATATGCATCTATTTTACATATAATTATCTTCGAGTGTATCATGTTCTATCAGGACGTGATAGTACAGTACTAACAGTAGATATAGGTTGTTGGAGATAAAATACATCTGTAAAGCCCACAGGCTAGTAAAACAATCTATCTTGATTATGCATATGCTTTTATTGTTAATTTAGAATATATAGAGGCAGTCCAGCTTGAAAGTCTCAAATTGCGAGCAAAGTACCGCACCCTAAAGAGAGCACAAAAACATGCCAATCATGTACTACCTAAAGAACCAATGTCACTTGTGGAGAAATACCTGGGTGGTAATCAAGCAGAATCCAAGGCATCTGTCGTTGCCAGGCGGGTATAGCAGATTTTCGAAGCCAGCCTATCCAGTTGAAAATGGGTCCGTCTGCATGTGTTCTGGCAAATGTGCTACTGTTAGAGGTGCATGTAAAGCACTTGGAAACAAATGTACATCAGATTGCCAATGTAAAATAGATATGTGTTCAAACAAGTAAATATTGTATATAACTGAATCCACCAAGCATCTTGAACATGGAATAATCCATTATGTATATATACATCCATGACCATGATTGATGTGAATTCATTTAGCAAACTTAAAGTGACTGTACAAACCAGTCGGGGAAGAAAATTCTTTGCGGATACATGTATAAACACACAAAGGGAAAATTCTGCGCACCTTTTTGCCCAAAATGATAAAAACCCATCTCGAACATCTTCTGTACAAAACGAGATGATATAGTTTATGTGTCTGTTCTAATTGATCGTCTCCAAGAGGCCAATTTTCTTCCAAATATTGTGAAACATCGACATCAAGCACGTCCTTTGATAGCATATTTTGCACAAACAAAGACAGGCCTTGTTATACAAGTGAACTCTTGATTTTGTGCGCTAGTAAGTTTGTCGTCATATTCGTCATACTCCAATGCTTTCTCGTGGCAACAGAGGCATACTTCAAAACCCGGACCGGACTCTAAGAAAATCCGGACTCGAGAAAAACCCGGACCTGGACTGGGAAAAAATCCGGACTTGTGTTTAAGAAAACCCAGACTTGACTTTTGAAAACCCGGACTCGAAATAGAAAAAAACGGATTCAAAACAAGGACTCTGTGTACGAGAATGCAAAGGTTTTTTTGGAAAGGTTTTTTTAAATAAATTTCTAGAGTGCTGTTGCACAATCTGGCGTAGTGCTGATAAAGAATCTGAGTTGCATCGGTAATATTAAATTTGCGGATTTGTTCTCTCGCGCGGGTGTCCCTATCTCTTCCCGCTTTCTATATTTAGATATTGATAGAATACTTTATTTGAAAAGCAATAAGCTTGGTTTCGAAAGATGTAGATCATTTTCTTTTCTAGTGACTCTAGTGTTATGTGTTATGTGAGGATACTAATCAGTAATCATACTATGATTCCTCACAAAATAATCACTATACAGGGTGTATAAAAAAAAACTGAACAGATTTAAAATTGCTCTCATATATATAGCTTCTTTGGGTACTTATAATGTAAAATAATGAAAAAAATTTCTCGAACTTAAATTTTGTGAACCAGGGGGGTGTGTCTTTTCCAACAAAATAAAAATGGCTCGCGCACAAAATTTAAAAGCTGCAATCATATTTTGAGTTAACAGATGGAAAATTTGTCGAGATTTTAATTACTGTACAAAATTTCAGACAATTTGGTTTAGTTTAAGCCCCTTAACTATTCACGCAAAGTTACAATTTTCCCGAAAAATCAGCTATTTGCATGCTTAATTAATGCATTTGCCTAATTTGCATATGTCAGCAATATGCAAAGTAGGTAAAGGCATTAATTAAGCATGCGAAAGGCTGACTTTTTAGAACAAAATGAATAGTTAAAGGGGCTTAAACTAAACCAAATTGTCTGAAATTTTGTACAGTAATTAAAAACCCGACAAATGTTCAATCTATTAACTCAAATTATGATTACAGCTTTTAAATTTTGTGCGTGAGCCATTTTTAATTTGTTGGAAAAGACACCCCCCCCCTGGTTCACAACATTTGCGATCGAGAAATTTTTTTCAATATTTTATATTATAAGTACCCAAAGAAGCTATATATATATATAAAAAAGATACAAATAGGTGTTTTGCGAAATTGAGAGCAATTTCAAATCTGTTCAGTTTTTTTTATACACCCTGTATAGTAAACCTGGACAAATCATTTAGGCACTTGAACACCAAAATGCATTTATGCATACTTCCGCGAGTAGCTAAATCTACTCTAAACCTAAATTAATAACTAAAATCTGTCTCAGCAGTCAAGAATGTCTTGTCTGGAAACCATCTCGATACATGATTGCTGCAACCATAGCAGACAATGTGATGGCCGCAAGGGTAAAATATACCCTAACACATGTATCAATGGACAGCACACTTTCGAAAAATTTGTCAAAACGACACGAAAAATAACTCGACCATGTTTTGTGGCTTAGGCCATCATTTCAATGGTAGCAAATCCAATGATAGCTTTCAAAGTCCTGAATATATATATATATATATATATATATATATATATATATATATATATATATATTGCCAAAAAACAAACTCAATAAAAATTATTTCCGTTTTAGCAAAGTAACTTCAACCGATCCAGAAAAGCACATCACATGCTGAAGGCAATGAAGGTGTTGCGGCAATTTGATATTAATAAAGTGCTCTCAAATATTTGGGCAAGATGCTGCTGTAAACACGTTTATTTTCTCAATTTTGTTAAGATAAAGTTCACAAACACGAATTGAACACCCACAATTATTCCTAATAAAAAATAGTAGAAAATACATCACAAGGAAAGCAATCTTAAAGTGGAAACAAAAAAAAGGAAGGTGTCACAGCAATGCCGACAGTGAAATTCGCATTGGGTGAATTGGCATGAATTCAGTGATATTGAGACGCTCGTTAGGCAATGCGTTCATCAATTGCCCGAAGTGCCTTGCATATAACCACGGCTCATTTATGCATATGGCTACAAGTAGCTAGTACGAGGGTAGCATGTTGATTCTCAAAATAACTTGATTTATTGTCAAACTTCATTGTCAGTATTGAGTCTCACACGTTGTTTGCTATGGTTGCAGCACTTGTGTACTGAACGAGATGGTTTCCACACAAGACATTCTTGACTGCTGAGACAGATTTTAGTTATTAATTTTATTAGGTCTAGGGTAGATTGAGCTGTTTTATGTGTCTAAATAATTTTTTCAGGTATACTATATAGTGATTATTTTGTGAGGAATCATAGTATGATTACTGATTAGTATCCTCACATAACACTGAGTCACTTGAAGAAAAAATTATCTACATGTTTCAAAACCAAGCTTATTGCTTTTGAAATAAAGTATATTCTATCTATATCTATATGTAGAAAGCGGGAAGAGATAGGGACACCCGCAATTATTACCGAGCAACTCAGATTCTTTATCAGCACTACGCCAGATAGTGCAACAGCACTCTAGAAATTTATTTAAAGATATATACATCATTATTGTTATAAAGAGATCATCGTTTATCATGTTAACTATTATTAAACCTTTCCAAAACACAGAGTCCTTGTTTTGAATCCGTTTTTTTCTATTTCGAGTCCGGGTTTTCAAAAGTCAAGTCCGGGTTTTCTTAAACACGAGTCTGGATTTTTTTCAAGTCCGGGTCCGGGTTTTTCTCGAGTCTGGATTTTCTTAGAGTCCGAGTCCGGGTTTCAAAGTATGCTGGCAACAGAAGCTTTCAATGGTCTTCTCCATTATCGCACATTTCCTGCACTTACACCATTCAAGCATAGTACGACACCAAGCATTAGCCGATTCGAATTCTTCGTCAAACTCGTCCTCTTCTGACCCAGAATCTTCACTCGAATCGTCACTAGCTTCGCCATGTTCCTCCTGGTTTGGCTCAAACATGTACGGTTCAATAACCTGCTCTTTGCTGCCGAAACTTTCATCTTTTTCCTCATTTGTTGCGAAGCTTTCTTTGCTTGCCATATTTCATTGTATTTAGGCGAAAACAACAATCCAGGTTGTGATGTCACAAACATATTTCACAAGAATGCTAATTTGCTCGAAATATCATCCAAGATGGCGGACGAAGCACAATATTTGGGTACAAACAATCACTATTTTCTACGGACGCAACTGTTTAAAACTCTTTTTCGACCACCCCCTCTCGCATCATATTACGACACAATTTTTCTAATATAAATATCTCGGCGAGTATTTACCCCCCTTATAAATAAATACCACCATTGTAATCCTCACAAAATAACCTTTCAAACGGGGGGTCAAGTGCCGTCTGAACATTACACAAACCGAAACAATCATATATTTACTCACCGCTTGGCCAAAGATTCTAAATTTCATATACACAAGATCTTGAATATCTCTTGAACATTTCGTCATTTGCTGAACGGCTATATGTGTAAAATACTCTTTGTATTCAAGCGCTTTCGTGTACTAAATTTTGTTTGAATACGGCGAGTAGAAATATTTATTTTGAATTTTTCAAGATGTCGGGTTTCACTCGCACTTGCGTACATTGCGCAATAATTGGCCAATAAGAAGCTCCTTTGGCCGGGATGACGTCAAACTCACGCGTGTAGGTGCAATTTGACCTTGCGAATCCATTTCTGGCCTTTGCAGGGTCATACAATACAAGCTTCGCATTGTTTTGACGATTTTCAGTCGTATTTCTGGTTGGGATTAACTCACTTCGAGCTCACAGTCGGGCAAGAAATAAAAATATATTGATAAAAGATACAGATTTGAAGATACAGGCTTGCAAATAACACTCTAAGTAGTGTTTTTAATGGGGATTTTAACAAGACTATTACAAAGACGATATGTTCGAAGGGGCCGAAGTTATTTTCGGCAAAAGGTATGGCTAGTCTATATTTTTGTTCAGACAATTGCATAATTTGATACAATATGATCGTGTTTGACTTCAAAGGCCCATAAATCGCTACAATGTTGATAATGACTATAACTATAGGGAGGAATTAGTTGAATCTTTCTTTCTGAATCGAATGGTGGTATTTCTGTCTTCATAGCATGCACTGAACCGAAGATATTAAATATCTTGCAATTGTTCAGTGCTGAACGACGCAACTGGGATGTGGTGAAAAAGAGTTAAAGATTAAACTTATACTCATTTTTAGTAAGTTTTAAGGTAAGCTTTATTTTAAAGATGAAAAAAAATATATTGCCATTTCCCTTTAAGCTAGGTGTTATCATGTACTATTCATCTAGAGCCTATTATTCTAACTACATCATTAGTTAATTGAACTCATATAATCCTTTTTGTCGTGTTAAAAGATAAGTGTTTGTGCATGTTTTCCATCTTGTGAGATTGTGAGCCAAGTGAGCGAGAGCTAAATCTTTTGTGAAATATAATTTTATGTTTATGACTAAACTGTGAGTGAATTTGTGATTTTGTGGGATCGTACTGAATGGGACCGAACCTGCCGTTCCCCACATTACTGGCACCTCCTACAGGATTGTGATTCGATATTTCGAACATGAAGAAACAGCAAAGTGAGATGGATGTGAAGTTCAAGGCGTTGAACTTCAGATTGAAATGCTGCAACAAAGTACTCGGGAATGAAGATAGAGCAGCCGTAGACAGACCTGTGAGTCCATTACAACAATTGTAAGTACAATTAGTATTTTAAAAAGTTCCATTGAAAAAGCCAAATTTGCGCAGAGAAAATCTGATGAACGAATAGAACAATGGTCTACAGAGATAGAAAATCAAATTGTACTGTCTGACAAGTGTATGCAGAAACTTGCCGATTTCGTGAAGACCATAGATCAAAGGGCAAAAGAAGTTGAATTGAAGCATACACAGGAAAAGACAATGCAATTTGAAAAACAATTATTAGAGCAGAAGTTAGAGGCCGCACTGAAAGAGACGAAAATTGCTGAGAAAACTGTGAAATTGCCTAAGCTTAGCATTACTAGATCGTCTCTGCTTTCATCTACCCCAACTCCAACACATGGACTAGGTATCACGAACTTCTGCTTTGAACTCATCAACAATAATATCATTCAACCAGTCCAACATTTGATTAAAAATATATAGAGAGCCATAAGATGCATTTCCACCTACAAAGAGATCCACAGCTTCAGGTAACTTCAACTCACATAGGAGTTTCAATTGGCTTCCATACTTGCAGTTAGGTAGCACTTCTGTTACTGTGTAATATAGCACCTTCATCGCAAGTACAATGGTTTGATTTCTTTTCTCCTGTAACTTATTTGCATTGGCGATTAAACCAGTTTGGGATTTCTCTTTGCTTGCATTACAAAACTGATGGTCAACTGAAGCTTGGTGCGCAAGTATTGACTTTCTCCTTTCAAAAGCGAACCAAAAAGAATTATTAAAAGCCACGACTATAAATATTACAATACCAGGTAAGAAAATAATCTAGGTATGGGCAACAGTTTGGGACACAGTTCTAAAGGGTTTAAAAATATATACTTTTTCATGAGATAGATTTCTGCTGTTGTGCCCTGTTCTTTCTCTTAGCTTCTATATCTAGCATTATTTCGGTCCACTATTCTTTTGGCGATGGAGGATTTCCTTGGGAATTTGTAGATTTACTTCTTTTAGTACTGCACTCTCATCAAATTCTGCACTCCCATCATCCTCATTGGTGATTATAATAACAACATTGACTCTGTTAATGTGATTGTGAACGGGTTCAGTGGTGAAGAAATCATAAACTTTTCTTTGCTTACTCATAATGTATATTCATGAGTGTTCAGCATGAGTGAATATTAAGTATACTCTCTCAATATTAAGTACATTATACAGTAAATAGGCAAGGCAGAATAAGCAATTAAGATTAGTGTCACTGTCAAGTGTCAAGATAATTAAGGCATGTTAACAAAGTTGGTTTAATACAAGTGGTAAGAGCTAGATTCTATAAATATACACAAGTGTTGCATGAAAACTAGGCGAGTCTATTTCCTGAAAGGTCAATGAAATTTGCGTAGATGTAACCAGCAGCACATGTTTACTTGGATTAAAAAATTACATATTACTAACTACTTACATATTATTTAACATAATATTTTATTGTAAGGTACTCCACAGCGTTTACCTAGCCGTCCAAAAGGCGTCACCATGATAGCAAACCAAAAGACAGCTGGACGGTAGGCTGGCTAAGACCCTGTTAGCTACTACTAAATTGAGTTTGAACATTGAAAAAAAAAATTGTTATATTTCATAGCCCTCAAAAGAAAATCAGCTTAGTCCTAACCTATATTTGAACCAGCTTGGCTATCAAGGAAGAAAGTCATGAATGATGTCAATATGGTGACAAAGAAACAAGCTTTCAGAAGCTCTGCACAAAATGCAAATATTTCATCAACTAAGTCGCCCTCTAAGCCAGTTCAGTCAAAGGTTCTAAATCTCAAGGATATATATATATATATATATATATATATCTATCTATATATATATATCTATATCTATATCTATATATATATATCTATATCTATATCTATATATATATATCTATATATATATATCTATATATATATATATCTATATATATATGTGTGTGTAGAAGTTGGAGAAATTCACAGCAAAAGTATGTTAATTACAAGTTTGTTTACATCACCGGGCAATGGCTTGCCGCCAAAAAATCATTAACGTTTTTCCAGCTTATTAATTCACACGGTTAGTTTGATCTAAAGCATGACAAGATGTGCTTTTAAGAATATCTTAAGTAATTACCCATTTAAATTAGACATTATTTCTGGTGTTATTTACCCTGGTTCCAGAGGTTTATTTTCATTTTATATAATATTACCTTCGCCATTTCTAATATTACTTACAATAAAATTTTATAATAAATCTCTGGAACCAGGGTAGTTGTTATTTAGTATAAATAATTATTAATATGTTTAAAGATGTTGCATTTAAAATTTTGTTATATGTAATATCTGTTGGAGAAATTTGCAATGAAAGTATACAAGTTAATTACATGTTTGTTTACATCGCCAGGCAATGCCAATGGCCTTGCCGTACTGCATATAATACTGAAATGTATATTTTTGTTATGAATAATATCTCGTGCAGTTAGGAGAGATTATATAGGAAATAAAAACAGAAGTGGTGTGTGGTGTGTGACCACAAGAAATGTCCAGGGATTTTGAAATTTGTTGTCAATTAATCGTCTCTAGCTCAGTCTCTGTCTAGAAATTTGTTATTGTTGATTTCAACGTGCGCCTCCTTTGTTCGTCATGAAAATCCCAATTATTTAGACAAGTTCAAGTTTTTAATTGCTCAATTTTTAAATGTTGAAACTTTGCAACGCACTTTGCAAGGGCAAAGGTCATTTTTGCTCTCATAAACAATCACGGAGAGAGGTTAGCCGGCAAGGCAGAAGTATTCCTACCCACCTGACCTCTTAGTCCGAATTTGCTTAATAAAACACCTACGATGCAGTTTACATTTGTCTAACATATGTTACTTACTCTTTCGATCCAAGGAAACTCGGCGGGTCTAAAACACAGGTCACAGTTTCGTCTAAAAAACATGCCTGTTCGCGGGTCGCAGAGAATAGTGTATCATAATAGATAATTCCTATATTATAGACCAATTCTAGGCAAGGATTTCCAAATAAATCACTACAGCTAGAATGAGCATACTAAAATGAGTACAATTGCAAAGTTTGGTTTGCGAAATGTTGTAAAATGCATAAGATATAGCCTTGCAAATTTTCTATATATACTTTTGTATCACATGCGGAAAATTATACAAAATTTTCGAATTTGCAAGGCTATATTTTCCGCATTATACAACATTTTGCAACCAAACTTTGTCATTTTACTCATTTCAGTATGCTCTTTCTAGATGTAGTGATTTATTTGCATATCCTTGCCTAGAATTAGTCTATAATAGGAATTGTTTATTGCGATACACTATTCTCTGCAACCTGGAAACAGGCATGTTTTTTAGACGAAGCTGTGACCTGCGACCTGTGTTTTAGACCCGCTGAAGGAAACTTGTAAATGATCGGGTAATTAGCATAAAATCAAATTTGTATATTAACTTGATGTATAGTTATTAATGGCAGCTGCAATTTTGTACAAATTCAATAAGTTTATTGATATATGGTGCCATTCGTTTGCCCGTGATCTGAGCAGTGATGTTTTCCAGGGGGAACGTGGGGGAACGCCGTCCCCCCACCTTTTTTTTACCAGGGGAACGGCGTTCCCCTTGCCAAAATCAAACATGGGGGAACGCCGTTCCCCCTGGCAGGGATTAAATATTAGCGAAGTTCAGTGAATGCCGTTCGACACCGTCCAAATAATTTTGGCTATCACTTGTTCTACATACGTGTTATTTGCCGAAATTTCTAGCAGACTAGTACAAAATAATAGTCTAGAGTCTTATGATTGACGTCCACTTAGATAGTTCACAATCAATTGTCATCAGCACGGAGATAACGTCAGGCAGCAGCCCAGCGGGATATAATTTGAATTACCTTTTGCATGGAGTTAGCAGAACATGATACCTGAAAAACACGTAGCTTGCGCGGTAGATGTCAAAAAGCAAATAAAACCATGTTAACTTTCCAATTTCGATGATGCATTAGTGCTATGTGAGTCAACCAACTCGGCAAATAGGCAACTTTGCAAGTTAAATATGACGTTTTCACGATTAACTAAATAAGCTTGGATAATAGATATCCTTGAATCTTTCCCATTCATGTTACTGTTCTTATTGAATCATTTTATGTTCCCATTGATGATTTTAATGTTTAATTTCGCGAATGCGTGAAAGACTATACTAATTTATAAAAATCAAGCCTAAGCCAGAAATTGTAAAATAGGTTGTTGAGCATTGTAGTTAATAAGAGATATGATTTCTAAAAGATCTAAAATCGTTGAATTCTTTACTGAAAAATCTGTGGAAGACATAATTTCAGAAGTTGAAACTGGCTTCGTAGCCATCCGTTAACCGTCATCCACAGCAATGTGACATATTTTGACAAGCTTGCCTATTAGACTAAAGTCACTAAATCCCCGCTTGTTTAATTTCATGGCCAATGGCCACGCCCAATCGAATGACCACGCCCATTTGATTTTCAAGGGCGTCCCCCCTCTTCTAAAATTAGCAAAACATCGCTGGATCTGAGCCGTGGGAATATCAAACTGCTCACATATGTTTCGCAGCATAGAAATTGAGAAGATGGACAATGGACATCCCCATAAATTTGTCTCCAAGATGATCAACTACAACGCTAAGATTGTCAAATGCTTGTGCCCCTGCAGAGCTAATGTAGTCGAGGCCTTGCAAAGATTTTTGCACGGAGGCTGAACAAACCGATAAAATACGAAGCAGTGTTCTTCGGCCAAGTGCCTTGAAATTAGTTTCCACTGGCACTGCATAGCCTAGGACATGTATTGCTTGACAATAGATTCCGGGATCAGCATTCGTATGACATTAGGGACTTTCACAATTTCTTTGGTCGAGAGTTCGATTGATTTCTGTCCAAAAGGCATATCCGGTATATGGGCTGGTAGTAAAGTCCAGAAAATGATCAAGCTGAATTTGAGAAACCCGGCGATGTAAACAAACATGTAATTAACACATACTTTCGTTGCAAATTTCTCCAACTTCAGTTGCAGATTTCATTGCGACTGTGGAAAAACCCACACAAATGTTTGCAATCGCTCTTAGTTTGTCATGTACAGGTTGTACTACCTGATTTTCATGGAAATTGGAGAATGGCCACATGCAAAAAATCGCTTTTATATATGTGAGGTAAATACACTATTAACGAGATTTTGAAAAACTATGTTATCATTCTGGCGCATTAAAAAGACTGCTGAGTTGCTGGCACCACTATTTTCATGCATCAGTCTATAACAAAATTTTAAATGCAACATCTTTAAACATATTAATAATTATTCATGCTAAATAACAACTACCCTAGTTCCAGAGATTTATTATAAAATTTCATTGTAAGTAATATTAGAAATGGCAAAGGTAATATTATATGGGGCCGCTGTAATTGGCAATAGCTGTTGTGGTTTCCCAGCCAATGAATGTATAAGTATGATGGCAAAGTAAATAAATAAAAAAAATATATATATAAAATGAAAATAAACCTCTGGAACCAGACGGTAAATAATACCAGAAATAATGTTTAATTTAAATGGGTAATTACTTAAAATATTCTTCAAAGCAAATCATGTCATGCTTCAGATCAAACTAACCATGTGAATTAATAAGCTGGAAAAACGTTAATGATTTTTTGGCGGCAAGCCATTGCCCGGTGATGTAAACAAACTTGTAATTAACGTACTTTTGCTGCGAATTTCTCCAACTTCAGTTGCAGATTTCATTGCAACTGTGCTAAAACCCAAACAAATGTTTGCAGTCGCTCTTAGTT